GCTTGATTTAAACGTTCCAGCTGCTGACTATAGATCTCTGCATTGACAGTTCGCTGTGGATTGAGGAGTTTGAAATTAATTATTCTTTTGATGTCCCACCAAATGCAAAGCATCACTTTCTGTGGATGGAGTCCAGGTTTTTGGGTTGGAGGTGGTTTTTGGCATTTTATATTCGTATAGAGAATCTATTTTTCATCACCGATGACAATTCTGTCCAAAAATGGTTTACGTGCCAGAAGAGATGAAGCAACGTCACACGTTGGAAATGATGATCATTGGAGAGTTCGTGAGGCACCCAAACACCTTCTTTATGGAGTTTTCCCATATTCCTTAGATGTTTGTTTTGTTTCGTGAGAGACATTCAATTTTAGGGTCATTTCATGAGTGTGTTGTCTTGGGTTAGACTCAACAAGTGCCTTCAGAGCATCAATATTAATTCCAACATGTCAGCTTCTGCTGTCACAGTTTTTAAGGCTAAAGTCACCTGAACAAAATTTGCTCAACCATCGTTGACTCTTATGAACGTTCAAAGTATTTCATAAACTTCTTTGATATTCTTTGTGACTAGAGACAGAATTGCCGAATGTGTGTCTTGTCGTGTGCCACCACTATAAGGGGTTAGAGTGTACTAAACTTTACACATTATATAGGCTACACTAATGTGACATTTAGGCAGTTTGTTTAACTATTATACGTGATGTAAGTTTTTGGGGGGATGGTTAATGAAAGTGTTCTAAAATGCGAGATTAATTACTTGACGACCTAATATTTTCATCAAGGGGGTGTCTGGAAGAAGTCAGGGAATTTTATTCTTCCCAACGTGTAGGAACCATGTGTACACACACACACACACACACACACACACACACACACTATATATATATATATATATATATATATATATATATCTGAATTTATTAATTATGGTAATCAACACATGTGTAAGTTAAAATTAGGTTTATAAATATTTTGAAGTATAAAATAGTTTTAATAGTAAGATTATTCACAGAGAATTTTTGTTGTACTCGTATAACTTATCTAACAACATTTCATAGGGAAACTATTGTTTTACAAAGATGGTTAGAAACTTTGGTGATTTAAGTAAATTCAAACTAAATCTGGCCAAATTGAAATATTTTCCGTAAATCATTTATGCTTTTAAATTGCACCAGATACTTGTCAGTATTTGACGTATATAATGTGGTTAAAGTGAATGGTTTAAACACATTTTAAAGTAATTGTATGTGCTGTGTAAATTTATTAAACAATTATGTGTCCTTTAATATCAGAAAATGCAATAAAAGTTCAAAGCTATGATAAAGAGTCTAAAACACTTACAAAAAAACAAACTTACCAATAAATCTATTTTTGACAAACTTGAGACACAACTGCCTTAACCCTCGGTGGATGTAGATACGTAATCACTTCAACCAAGAAACTTGGTTATTGTAATTACTTAATAGTGCAAATGTTGAATAATGTTCTTATGATGAGTTCATGATGATCAAATATACCAATCTTATTGTGATTAGTAGGCTATATGACCGTCTAATTAGTTACTAATATATGTTTTTATTGCTAGATACTAATTACTAACTAGTTTTTACCCTACTTTTCAGTTGCTAATCTGTTTCCATGTTTTTTTTGGAAGTCTTAAGAAGGACTTCACAAAAAGAAGGACTATTTCTATGTTGGTAATGGCTGGGATTTGATCCTGGGTCTTCTTGATAGACAGGCTAGTATACTATCTTCTTGTGTGGGGTCTCCCAGTTAAGAGTAATCAACTAACTTATTTCTATGCATTCAAGAGGGGTATCCAGGTTTTGCCTTCTTTGGTAGTGGTAGTTTTGCTGAGTGTGTTATCATTCAGATGGATGTAGAAGGCTTGTTTTATATTTCTTTTTTGTGTATGGTGCATGTCCCATTATTTTGATATTGTATGGTCTTTTCTGTCATAATGAGCTGTTGTATATAGATTGGTATTTAGAGCTGGGTGATTAACTAGGTTAAATAATATAATCAATTAAATTGATTAGTGTCATGTAAAATAATCAACTAATCAGAGTTAGTTATATTGATTGTCAGGAGAAAAATAAACTAATTGAAATTAATGTTTCTGATTACTACTATTTTCAATTATTCCAACTATCCATGACTCGTAAGAATAATTGATTAGTTGAATGTAATTGATAAATGAGCCCCATGATAATGAGTTATCAAATTTTACAAATTGGCTTACTCTGTTGGTATGTCTGTTATGCTCTTAAATTCTAAATGAATCTTTCCCCGCTGATTTTTCCAAGCCCGTTCCCTTAGCTAGGTGAGAGTAGTAATGAGTTATCAAATTTTACAAATTGGCTTACTCTGTTGGTATGTCTGTTATGCTCTTAAATTCTAATTTTTTTTTATCGTATTGTTTCTTCAGTGTATTGACCACAATAAGAAAGAATGTATTAAATGGTGTTTTTGCTGTCCATTGTGTCTTTACTGATTTAATGTGTACTAACTGTGTTTATGTAGCATCTGTATGATTTCAGAAAGGCTTGTTACATAGAGTAATATTGCTGTGTGTCTGTAATTTTCCTTCTATGTACTGTTCGTGTTTATCTTCTTTATTATGTATGCACAAAAACCAACTAAAGACAGAATGGAAAGCAAAACCACCACTTATAACATCCCATGTGAATGTGGAATCAATACAGTGGAGAAACAAAAAGACCAACAGAAGTTTGATTTCAGGAGCATAATATACATACAATACTGTAATATCAGTCTGTCTGCAATAACTTATCATACTAGACTAGAATGCCATCCAGTAAATGGGAATAATACTAAAATAACGGTATGTGAGCCATACACACAAAAAAGAATCTTTCTACATCCACCTAACTGATAACACAGTCAGTCAACCTAACCTAGAAGTCAGCAAAATATAGATACCCCTCTTGAAAGCATTCAAGTAAGTTAGTTTTTAAATATCCTACTAAAGAGAACCCAGACAGGTGGAAAACATACCAGCCTCTCTATCAAGAATGCCTAGAATCAAAACCTGGCCACTAACACCAAAGAAGTATTCCTTGAATAAAACTTTTAACTAAATATTTTTTTATATAGCTGCAAATCTTAATAATGATAAAAGATACCTAAAAAAATGTTATTCATTTTTGGTTTTTAGGCCTCTTCACATATATTGCATATTGTTCTATACAAGCTTGTGTTTGGTTCTTAATAGTTTACTAGAAGAAATAAGATTATTTTAGTTGCTTATATTTAACATCATTACTTATTTTTAATTTCTAGGGCTCTGCATGCCTTTTCTTGAAGAATGGTTTTATTCTGTTTGGTGTTTTCTACACCATAGGAAATGTCACAGCTTTAGCTAGGTGAGAGTTTAAAAAAGTAAAATTTTATTGTGTTTTGTGATAGTTACAAAATGTTTGGGTAAAATATATTAATTTTGTAGAACATTTATATTTTTTTATACAGATGATAGTAGTTGGCATTGCATGTCAAATTCTTGTTAAAAAACAACAAAAACTGATCTTCATTAAGATGTCTTTGAATGGTAATTAAATAATTAAGATATGTTCATTATGTCACTTGACTGATTTTGGTCAAGCATGCATGGATTAGCTTTAAACTAATAAGTTTGACCATTTACAATATGCATGTGTAATACATACAGCTCAGCTTTCGATAATAGTGAATCACCTTTTGCTTTTGATATTTCTAAATTTATAATTCGAAAAACCTTTATTGTGTTCTCAGAAATAAAAATAGGGAAATTTTATAACTGTGGAAAAATTGTCTGACTTAAGAGATCCAAGCTGTGACAGAACTTTAATTAAAGGTAAACTTTTGTAGTTGAAAAGTGACTATGAAAATGTTTTTCTAACCTAGCTGGATAGATGTACAGGTGAGTTTAGAAATGTTTTCTTTTTTTTTTATGTTTGTTATAGTACATGTTTCCTCATGGGTCCTCTCAACCAACTAAAAAAGATGTTTGCTTCAACTCGAATTATAGCAACAATTATTATGTTGGTGAGTTTCAACCTTATTTCGTTACTAATTACTTGCTGTTGAGAAACAAAAATTTATTGTTTTCTCTTCCCTAAATAAAAATTAAAAGATTGTAAAGTCAGAGTTATTTATGTTTAAAGTAAATGATATGATTCTTGCCATAATAAAATACTCTCACATTTTTCCTATTCTTAATTTTGATATACCCGGTATTTTGGTGGTGTGACATTTGGTAGTTCTTTAAATTTTATTCCACTATATAACTGCCAGAACTCTGAACAGTGCATTATTGGGGAAATTTAGAAGACTAAAAATAGATTTGGACAATATAAATAATTACCTGTCAACAGCAGTTACATCTATTAGTGTCATGTAAACTAGTGGATTAATTTTGTTTTGTTTTTTACTTTAAGTTGTTCAGGTTTGGACCAGCATGGTCTGGTGATTTGACGGTAGGGAGAGACTCATGATGATTTGAAGGTTTTGGGTTCAGTTCCCATTGCTACCACACTTGCTTGCCCTGTCTTTGTTATGGTAAAGTTACCAAGGCTATCTGCCACTGTCACCAATTTTGATCTGCTGACTAGAGGGAAGCACTAACTGCTAACTCTTTGGTTATTTAAGTGTTAAATAAAATGTAAATTTACAGTTTTTTAATATTATGTTTCTAGTTGATAATTTCATAGTCATATTCTTATATGTAGTGTAAGTAGGTGTGGATCTGGGAGAGGGGTCTGGACTCCCACCCTTCATTTTGTTTTCCATAAATTAATAATTGTATTCTTTAACCCTCTCCCTATGGGTAGGTTAAAATGTGCATCTCACCACCTTTTAAAGAGTTACATTCAAAATTCAATCAAACTACTTTATTATCAATATATGAAAATAAACTTTGCATCAAAATGTAGTGAATAAACCAAATTTTAATATTAAAAAAGTTTTAACATCTTAACTTTAAAAGGAAATATTTAAATAAATCCCCATTCTCTAATTTATTTACCCCTCACTGCATTACAGAGTTTAATGTAAGTTACTCATCATAATATACATATTGAACAAAGTCTGATTTTTATAGCCTTCAATCTTATTTGTTCATAGAGACATAAACTAGAAAGTCAAACCTTCTCGCCACACCCTCCTGTCACATCCTCTCTTTCACAACCTTCCAGTAATAGGACATTATTTGCCTTGTGTGTGTTATTATTATTTGTGCTTTGGTGCATTAGTTAAATAAGAAATTATTTAGTGTATTAGTGCCATCATTATAAAAGAAAAAAGTAGGCTTAAACTTCATCATCAACGAACAGCAAAAAAAGAGGTAAGTACTATAATTTTTGTTTTTCATTTATATTTTTATTTATTGGTGTAAAAGTAACTCAAATGTAAAAATTAGAAACTTATTGGGTTAGATGACCTAAGATACTGAAAAATAATAATAATTCTCCACAAGGTATACTCGCGAGTAATTTGTGCTTACATTATTCAATATAGTAACTTGAGCTACATTTTCTATGAGTTGTTTACAAAGTATATGGCACGATTATTAGTTAGACATGGCTCAAAGGGCAATAAAACAATCAAATGATTATTAGTTATACATGGCTCAAAGGGCAATAAAACAATCAAATTAAGTAGAAACAGAAAAACTGGAAAAAAAAGTTTGTTATTTATTTAGAAAAATTTAGAGCTCAAACAAATGAAATTTGAAAATTTTCAGGTTTAAGAAAAGTATTTTTAATATTAATATGAAATCCACTTTCCACTTGGAGCAGTCAACACTCTGACTCCATATACTCTTGGACAAGTCTTTAGTAAAAATACTTAATTAAAAAGCCAGATTTTTTATGTACAAAAGACTTGTGTTTACTGAAATCTTGCCAAATTTCATGGAGATACACATACCACATTAAAAGTTATATTATAGAAACTTTAGTTACTTTGGGTTTGCAAGGTTGGTGTAATTCACTGAACCCATATGGAAAGACTTAATGATTTATAAGGAGGTACGGAGAACTTAATAATTGTATTCCTTAAAGTTGTATAAAGTTGGGTCAAATCTATCACATAGTATCAAAAAGAAGCATTAGATGTCAGTGTTTTTTCCTTATTGTGTTATTAATTGCCATAAGTTTTTTAGGCTTGGGCTTATTGTTTATTTAGAATTGAATTATACCTTATAACTAGGTGAAAATAGGAAAATTAATACCATGTTAGAATAATGTAGCAGCTCACAATGGTATGAAGCTAGCCCACCCCTCTTTGGGGAGGGGCACATAACATGTTGTCAAGATCTGAACTAATAGGTTATTGAGCCTTTAAATTAGTAAAAACCACTATTGTCCAGCTCCAATCGGAAACATATCATTTTTTTTTTACATTTCAGGATAAAATTCAATTTATTTTTGTATCAGGTAAGCTAGAAAGAAATGAAAATGTACTAAAGTCATTGATTGTATTCTTCCATATAGGAATTAAGAGACAGTGAAAAAAAGGCACAATAATACATGTAAATATGAACATAGTTATTTGTCAAAACTGCTATTTTAGGCTTATATAATACAAAAGGGGGGGAAAAAATGTTGAGGATCATGTCGAATTTGAAGAGTCTTACCAGACTTTTTTTTTTTTAATTTGTGTTCAATTTATTCTTGATCTTGACATACTTTACCAGTTATCATACTTAGAGATTTGGAGTCAGTCTGTGTTGTAGCTACATCATTTGTTAGACTTTGTAATTTTGTGTAATTAAATGCTGTTGTTTGATAGGTCTCTAAGTTTGGCCCGTAAAATGGCAAACTTTGTATATATATATTTTACTGTGGAGCTTGTACAATGTGTGAAGAATGATTACACACAAAATATAAGGATAATTAAGTTTAAACATTTTTAAAATGATGAATAATTGGTTCTAACTCTGCTTGTTTTTTTCAGTAAAGAAAACTTGAACAGCACTTTTTAGAAGTATTTTATTATTGAGGAAAATCAAGAGGTCTACTTAATTTTTCTGAGCCTCCTGGTTTGCAGTTTATTGACTTAATAGTTTTATGGTGACAGTGTTTGAAATGTTTAGATTATAAAAACTTTGTACTTAACAACCTAATCATGTTTTTTCAGGTCTCCTTAGTTCTCACCTTGTGTGCTGCATTTTGGGTTAGTATATTAACCTATAAGTATTATTTACAAAGCTACCAAAATTAAAGAATGAAGTTAGAGGACATTATGTTACACCATGGATTATGATCTTGTGTTGAGCAAATTTTTCTGCATTTTGTAAAGAGAGTTTAAAAATCATATGCTTTAGTTACCTTATTTATTATTTTATTCATAAAGACTTAGTGAAATATTTATCCACCTATGGAAGAAATGCAAAGGAAAGAGAATTTGTTTGTATTACTTACCAAAGGCTTATACTTTCAGTTCTTCAGATTAAATGCAGAATTGCATTGAAGGTAAAACTATGTCTGTTCAGTCAGGGACATATCAGATTAATCTTTTTCAGCCACAACTTGTATACTATACAGCAAATATATACAATTAGTTGTGAAATTAGAAAACAAAAATAGAAATTAAGTAGTTCATTTCTAGTGCACTTTTTATTTTAGTTCAATTGGAGAGTAACATGCAGAATTGGATTATAATTTTATCTTGTTCAAAGTGAAGTATTTTTGAATACATATGTCCTACTTAAGTTATCTTTGTATAAAACTAATATATTAATTAAGTAGGAATATGCAATGTCAAAAAACAACAGATTTTAATGATTAGAATGTATTGAATCATCATTTAGATACCCTCACTGTTATCCAATTTTTGGCTGTAGCAATTAGATTTGGTTGGCTATGATTACAAAAAATCGCTTCTAAAGTCTGCCCTAAAATAAGACAAATAATTCTTTGTATACATTTATAAAAACAAAGTATTCTCTTTTGGTATAAATGGTTTTAGCTGCTTTTGTGGAATTTTTTCTTTAAATTTTAGAATCAGTTGTTTTTTATTTTTACAAATTTTGTTTATTTCTTTATTTCAGTGGAAAAACATTGGGCTTACTATCCTGTTTTGTATTATACAGTTTTTAGCTATGACTTGGTATTCCATCTCATACATTCCTTATGCCAGGTAATAATTTGTATTTTTTTGACAAAAACCTTTAAAAAACAATCTTTGCTCTCAAGATAATATTAAAACTACTTCAGCCAATGTTTTGTCATTGCAGCTTCATCAGGGCTAGTAATACTAATACTTTATATGTTTTTGATAGTCGCTTACATTAAAATAATTATGTTGATATATATATCATATTGGCCCGATTATAAGGCACATGTGTTTTGATTAATAATTAGGCTGTAAAATTCATAGTTACCCTATAATCGTAGCGGATCACATGCCCCTTCCCCTTACTCTAGCCTGTCGTATTCCTGGATGTCCAGGTAGCATCCATTTACGCATGCATGCCAGATGTTTGCTCAGGGTCCTCGATAATTCTTGCAACTAATCCATCTCAGGTTGTTCACTTATAGTATTGATTTTGCAAACCTAAAAAAGGGGAGTTATCACACTCAATTTTTATTCTTTCTCTTGGTTTCTGAAAATGGGGGTTGCCTTATATTCAAGATTGCTGTATAGTAGGGCCAATATGGTAAATATATTTTATTTATGAAATAATTAAAGACTAATTAGTGACAGGATATGTCATGAAACTGGTATCTTTTTAAATGGATCATTAATATGGATACATTTTTGTGTCATTAAATTATAATAGGTTTTTTTGTCGTGTATGTATCAAAATGTGTAGCATGAGAAACTTTATAAATTTTGCAAAATTGCATTCAAACTGCAATTTAATTCATATGAAGAATATCAATTTAAAAGCTTCAGTTACTAACATTGTAGTAACATATTTAACCCTCTCTGCCCGGGCGTCATTTACTGTGCATGTCACAAGGTTTTAGTAACTTTCATTCAAAATTAAATTTGACTACTTTTTTGTTTGTTATACCAATAAGTAAAGCATAAAATTGTAGCTAATAATCAATATTTTAATGGTATATAAGATTTAAGTTCTTAATTGAATAAGGCAATAGTTTAAAAAATTCTGAATTTCCCAGAGTGTGAGAAATGTGATATATTTTTTCTAGGCATCCTCTCTCTTTATTTTATTCAACACCCCCCTTCAATAAGTACAAAATCTAACATAAATTATTCACTATAAAATCACCATTGCTCAGACAAACCATAATTTTTATAGCCTTCAATCTTGTTTGGTTACAGAGCCATCAAATAGAAAATCAGACCCCTCTTGCCACACCCACCTGTCACATCCTCTCTTTTAGAATTGTTAATAGTTCTCTCTTAATGCTCTACTATGTATAACCAATAGAAAGTTAAGGCTTTCGTCTATCAATTGACATATTATATTATGCTATTTTTTGAATAGAGAATTGTCATTTTCTCTGTTAGTACAAGCTTTGTTCCTATGGGAAAGATAATGACTAGTTTGTATGAATTTGTAACGGCTCTTGTCACACAGTTAGAAAGTCAGAAAAATTGTGATAGTTAGGGGAAATTGCCTGTATTTGCATGTTGTATGTTATGTTCTTTAGTGCATTACTGTCATTAGTATAAAAAGGGGTTAAGTGTCATTGACAGTCAACAGCAAAAAAAAGAAGAAAACCCGGGTAAGTACTGTATTTCTCACTTTTCATGTTTATTCTTTATTTATTGTTATCAAAGAAACTAAAATGTAAAAATAGGGATCTCTTTAAGTTAGTTAAGATTAGATTAGGTGAAATAGATAATAATAATAATATAATAAAAATGTTTCACGAGGCATGCACGTGAGCTCCACATTCCCCCAAGTGATTCAAAGGGCAATAAAACAATAAAATTTAAAAATAAATACTGTATACTCTTACGAGTTTAAAGTTACTTAGGATTACCAAATGTTGTTTTGTGTTACAATTTGAAGACATTGTAGAAGGATAAAAGTGATTTAGATTTATTTTGATTTTTTCTTGGTTGTTACGAGATCGGTCAAATTGAAAAACCTTGTAGTTAGGTTAGATAAAATATAAAGTTGTACTGAAAACAAACATTTGAAATGTATTTGGGAGGCTTTAGAGATTATGCAAATGAAATTTGAGATTTTTGAGATAAAGAAATGTATTGTTGCATATCTGCTTGTTTGTTAATTTCCCATAGAAATTCTTTCTGAGAAACTTCGGCGATACAAGTACTTTCTTGATTAAAACTAGTTTATTCTTTCTTGATACAAACTTTGTAATACACTTAGCAACTTTTGTAACACACGCTATAAATCACAGTGATTCACACAATTTACTTACGGTGCTTACTGTTTACTTGACTCAGTTATCTATCTCTTCAATCTATCTATCTATATTGCTGGCTTTCTTTGCCAGGCTTATATACTAAATAAGAGGGCATCTAGCAAACACTCAGACATTCGTGGGGTTCCCCAATAATTCTACAAACTCCAGCGAGCATGCTCCCAGCATCACGCAACTTCTGCTGTCATAACAATATTTTTAATCTTAACTTACAAATCACTTTGCAAGCAGGTTAGTCAAAAACAGACTTGATATATTCATGGACAAATCTTTTTTTAGTTTATTATAAATACTTCACTAAAAAATATGATTTTTTTATATGTGAAAGACTTGCAATGTTTACTGAAAAACTGTGAAGATATACATACTGTATTAAAAGTTAGTAGTATCAAAACTATAAAGACTTTAAACTAGTACAAAAAGGTCACGTGGTCGATCAGTTTGATCTAGCTCGTGTTGAGAGAGTTAACCTTAATAAAATGTTTTGATGAAGTGAAGGGTAAAAAGTACAAATCAAAAGTGTTAAAAAACTAGGAAATGTGGTTTTGTCAAGTCAGGAAGATTTGGATCAATAATTAGATTCTGATAATGAGCCATCTTTCTAAAGGACAAAAATAAATCAGTCCTAGAACCTTAGAATAGTATGGTGATAAAAAAGAAGGAAACAAATTATAAGTGTAGTAACATGGCTAAGGTTTGGACTGACAACATACAATGTGGTAGCTTTACAGGGATTAAACCCTGTGTGTTGATATTAGTTTTACACTATTTCAGAAGAACATGACATATGATACACATTATATATGGTGGAGTTAGTTGTGTCCTGTTTAGTATGAATCTATACTGAAAGTGGACAAAATGGATGAAAACATTCATTATTTATGTCATGCAGCTTGGTGATATTTTCACCAACATTAAATGTACTGAACTAGGTGCAGGAATTACCTTTACAAGCTTACAAATAATAATAAATAAATAAGGGGTTATGTAATAATCAAATGTGCCAAAGGTATATGCATACTTTCTAATAGTTTTAAGTATATGCTTTATAAGTTTTCAAGGTAGTTATACAGCTGTTGAATAATTTGTGTGTGTGTTTAACATGGGTTCAGTACTTTGTAAGCTACTATTTTGATCAGATGTGCAAAGCAAAATGAGAGGTATAAAAATCTACTAGTCTGACAGTTGGTACTACTAGATTTTAAATTCAGGTTATCTTCGGTTCATTGTGTGCATGTATGTTAAATTCAACTTTATTTTTGATAATGAAGATTTATGAAAATACTAGCTGTTGCTATTTTTTTATTCAAATCATTAAGTATATTTTGTCACTGAAATGTTTGCAAGACCAATAGTCTAGTCCATCGTAAACCTGTTAAATTAAAATGTACTTTTATTTAGGTTCACATTTGTAACACTTTTTAATCTAAGTGATTATTTTTTCTGGAATTAGAATAGATATTTTTTAATCGAAAGTTTTGTTTGTATGAAATGAAACATCTGTGTTTGGGCAAAATGACTTGGACCCCCTCATATGGAACCCCATGACATTTTTTCCATGTATGATGGCAAGGTGTTCTGAATGTTGTACTACTATGTGATTTTTTTTTTTTTGTATAATTAGACTGAAGAACCGAAACAGAAATTTCATGTTTTGGTATATTCTGAAATATGTCATATTACTTTCAATACATCGGGAATGTGGTTACTCTGCCCATAAATTTTCTATCTTTTGTTGCATTCTCTGTAGTAAACTGTATTATTTTAGTTTTTGCAATATTGTGGAATAAGCCACTGCAATGAATATGGGTATTTATATTTTTTAAAAAAGTTGCGCTTGTACATTTATCATGCCTACTAGTTTGGAGTTATTACATCAAGAAAATTGCTACATACTTGTAAAAGTTAATGCAAGTTTTTGTTATTTGGAAATATTTTAGATTATTTAAGTAGCAGTTAGCAATGTTTCATTATTTTATCAGTAGAACTAAGCTGTTTTACTCTTTTAATTCTTTGCTTTTGTGGTAAATCTGAAGTTTTGGGTTATTCTAACTTATAAAAAAAACAACAAAAAACATTGGAACCAATCATATCCTTTATGAGTGATGAAGAACTCACATTAAAGAAATTATGTTGTTTTTGTTTTAGGGATGCAATCAAGAAATGCTTTGACTCGTGTATCAGTTGAAGCTTGTATATTCACATCCAAGTGTGAAAGTGAAGTTTGAACCTCTGTGTTATATGTGAAAATCTTGTTTGATTGATTTGTAACGTTCAAAATGGTAACAGGGTATTGTGCCTTCTCTTTCTATTGTAGCCTATATTTATTGATTATTAAATGATGTTCCTGTTTCTTAAAATTTTGCTATTATTATAAGATAAAGGTTAAGAATATTAAAAGTTTATATGAAAAATTTGAGCTACATCAAAATATAAATACATTTATCCTGGAATCAAAGATGGTCTTAATTGTAGATGGGGAAATCATTATTTGGCAAGAAATGAACTGAAGAATTGTCTAATCGGTCCACTTAAATTTTTGACAACATCAACTGTTTTTCTACAGTTTTGTCATAAAATAAGATCTTTTCAACTTGAAAAATTTATTAGTTGGTAGTGTATCATTAAAACTATGTTAATTTGTTGCTGATTTAAATTTCAGGAGCTACAATTCAAATAATTATTGTTCTGTGTTTATTACTCAAATAGTCAATAGCTTTATTCTGTGACAACATATGTTGTAGGTTATAACTCATTGGATTGGAGGTGTATGGAACATTATTTATAAAAAAAACAAACAAAAAAAACATGTTAAATATGTTACATATTTGCAACCTAGAGCTATATAAAATTAACCAAAGTACTTTGTAAAATTCTAATACTTCTTTGACAAAAAGAGTTACATTTTTAGGAACTTTTAATAATGATGGTTTTTATTAGATTTTCAATGTTAGCTGTTTTTAATTACAAGTGAATTTCTAGTGAAAGCCAAAAAATATGTTTAGAAATTAAACTTATTTACAGTTTATTTGTTTCCCTTCAGTTTTGTGATAAGATGTAAAACAAAAGTTAGATCTAATTGGTCATGTAAGTCTTTAAACTCTTCCTAAGTCAGAAATTCCCACAAATTATAATTGAAAATCTTAAATTTGTGCTGTTCTATTAATGCTTATAATTATTCTTGCAAAATTTACAAATTAAAATTTGATTCCTATTTTATACAAAGCTTAAAGGTAATAACTAAGTAGTAAATCTTTGGAAACTGTTTTAATTTTGTATAGAGAAAGTTGTCTAAAGTGTATGATTTAGTTAACCAGTTTTTATTTGTTTTATTTAAAGTGCCATATTGTTTAAACACTTTTTTCAGGTTAGTCAGTATGATGTAATGTTGTCAAAGTCATGAAGTTCAATGATATTTCTGTTTAACTTCTTTTTTAAAAAAACAAACAAACTAGTATCATATAAAGTTATTTTATAAATTCATGTATGAAGTATTTTTCCAAAATTTCAAACTTACTACTTGCTGTCATTGTTACTGCCAGTTTTTAGTCATAAAATAATCATTTTGTGCATTAGTTTGAATAAGCTGAAAAGATTTGTTTTAAAAATGATTCTACTATTGGAGGAGAGACATGGTTTGTTGTTTTTCAGATTTAACTGTTTAAGGAACACTAGTGCTATAGTATGTTCCAGATAGTCATATATATATATATATATTGAAAACATGTCCTTAAGAGGGATTAATTTTGTGGCTTTTTCTGACTTGGAGCTTATACTGTCAAATATTTTCTATACTATTTTTCGAGCATTTTTTTACATCTCTTTGATAATGCCATATTCTTGTAATTCCTGTAAATGAACTCATATTTTTCTGATGGATACATAAGAACGTTTGTAATTATATAATTATCATAGTTTGATATCAAATTTTTACACTGTAGTAATGAAAATAATATGAGAAGGATTAATGTGTAATGAATTATACAGATGTACAGATTTTTAAATATTGTGTAGCAAAAAAAAAATCTTGTAACAGTATAGACAGATCTTGTTACCCGAGGAATAATGATGAGGAGCTTCAGAAAGTAATTAATTTTTTGTACAAAAAAGATTATATACAGTTGCATATCTTGTTTGTAATTAGTTTTATGCATAAATAAACTTAATGTTTAAATGTCAATTTATTTGAATTTAATATAATTTAATGACAATTACAAAGTTTTATTGTTCAACAAAGCATGTAAAAGTTAATATGACAATATTTTTCTCGTATTTAAAACATTTATATATTTTTATAAGTTATTACTGATAATTTAATTTAGTAATTATGCATTCCAGACCAAAGTTAGAGGGGGGAAATAATAGTTTTTAAGTCTTAGCCACTGAGACTCTTACTGTGGAGTATTTTTTGTAATTATTTCTAGTTTCACTTAATTTAAGTCATAATGTTTATTTCTAATAATTTGATGTATGTAATATTCATTGTATCTACCAACACGGCATGTGTAATAGAAATTTGAAACTAAAAAAATTGTACTGTATAATGTCTGACTCCATTATTTATTTAATTTTGTTTAAGGGG